CTTCAACGATGTTTTCCTTTTTATCTTGCCAAAAGTTCGATTTTTTTCCGTAGAACCTTCTACCTCATCCAAATAGCAATCTTGATAAGTATTGTACGGATCAAGGCTGTAATAAAATTCCAATAATACTCTCTTTTGGCTACAAAAATAGGATAAAGTATTATAAATAGCAAATTTTCTGATAAAATTGCCAAGCACTGCTTTTTATAAAATTTTTGATTTTTATTATTCTGTTAAAATTCACAAAAATTTTTGCATGCTTTTTCGTAGTGGTTGCATTTCAAATGTCTAAGGAAATAGCAATTACGAAGAATTCTGATGCGATCATTATCTCATCTGCTTATATATTCAGTTTTCTGAAAATTTTCTGCTAATATCTGTTTTAATACTTTCTGAATTAATGAAATTATTACACGTGTCTATTCAGTGAATATGAAATTATTTCTTATAAATCAATTTATTTATCATGCAAGTATAAATGTTTACTTTGCTAATATGCAAAATAGATACCAAGAATTGAATTGAAATTTGAATTATCTGAGGAAAGAGAAGATTCAGATGGATAACCTTAACGGCAAGAAGAACTTACTATTGCTTACTTACCCAATATCAGCAAATTCGTAATATCCATAAATAACAGTAGCACACTGATCCAAAATGGTATCATTAAACTTTTTGGGAGTTCTCGTTGACCAATCCAAAAATTCAGAAAAATTACAGTATGGAAGTGGCTTATGGCCAGTTCCTATTTTCTCACAACATGTACTTAATGAATTGAATTCCCTGCAAATATACTTTCATTAAATGCGAAATTGTTTTTTGATTTAAATCACATGTATCGGATCAAAAATAGTTGCTTCGTCACTAATTAATTAATTAATTAATTGAATAAATAAAAATAAATTTGTTCAAATAATAAATTTCGTTATTTGAGTAATTTGAGCTTGAAACAGCTTAAAAATATGTTCTTAAAATAAAATATGTTCTTAAAAATAAAATATGTTCTTAAAATAATCTAAAACTTAAAGTTAAAAAGTTTACAGTACTAAAATATAAATGATGACCGTATAAAATTTTTATGGTTCGCATTATTTTGTTCACAAACTCCAAATTTCATTAGATTGAATTTAACAAAATAGTTTTGCAGTATTATATCAAATATTAGCTAACTGCAAAGTTCTGCTTTGTCAGCAAAATATGATATTTTAATTTCTTTTTTGTTCCTTTCATAACTTTAATCTCGATTAACATCAGTTAGTTGGGATAAAAACTTAATCATAATTTTTGAAAACAAGTAAAAAAGCTTAGCTAACCCAACACCAAGAAAACCTCTGAAGTGGAATAAATTGATCAGCGAGTTAAATTGATCACTTCGACTTAAAATACCATTTCCTATAGCCATGCCAACAAAATTAACCCCAACAAGTGTTCCATCCTTAAAATAAATTAAATTCTTTGGTTACCTTTTCTGGTAACAAAAGCTCTGATTACTTTTAATCCAGTTCGAAAAAATTTGAGCGCAGTTTATTAAGATAAAGATTAGTCAATAAAAATCACTTAAAAAATGATCTCTGTAAATTAATAATATAACAATTATTAATTAATTAAGCAAAAGTTTTAGTAAAAAAATTTGCATAGTTAAGTTTTTATAATCAAAAAAAGCGTACAATAATGCGATCAATTAGTATATTTGCCAAAGTAGGCAAATAAACGCCGGCATAAGATTCCCCCGTAATAAAAAATGGTCGTCCGAGATATTCCGGATAACGGCCAAAAAATACTTCCAAAGCATCAGCATTATCTATGGCTGTCTGAAATGTTATAAAGTATATGTTGAACAGTTGCATAAGAATTAAGTTTAGATATCAAATTTTTAGCAGTGGCGTAAATTTTTAAGAATTATTAAAAAAATTGTCTTAATCATATACCCCAAAGCAATCAAAATTTTCAAAATTGAACTCGCAAACTTATAAATATTTAATTTTTTGAATATTATAAAATTGATTAATGAGTAGTTTGGACAAAAAATTTTGTTGCAAATTTTTGTTGGATAAAACTATCAGTACATTACTTTTGTATCATTCCATCCGTAATGAGGATCAGCATCTGCATCACGATATGAATATCCAACACCATATGGTGATTCAAAGTATAATACATTCGCCCCCTTCAAATTATCAAATCTTAATTAAATGATATACTCAACAACAACAAAATTACACAATAACAAACGTAATTTCACAAATTTATAAATTCTATAAAAATTGAATTAATCAATGATTTGATATTTAGGCTTAAAAAATTGTAAACATAAAAATTTAGTTAGGCTTTATAATGAAAGTTTGCAAAAATTAAATTTCAGAATAAAAATTCACCTTATTCCAAGTGTAAATATTTTCAAACAATGTCTCTCCGTCTTGATTCACTCGAAACGGGCCTAATTCAGTGAAAAGACCTCCCAGTGAGCTACAACCTGGTCCTCCATTTAGCCAAAGTAACAGCGGAGCTTCAGAAGGATTATTTTCTGCTTCTAATAACCTAAATTTGTTTGTTATTATCAAAATTTTTGCCTTTTTAACTTTTTATTCCAAAATTTTATTTTTTTTAATTTTTATTTCAAATACTTATACTTCAAGCATATGGAGCATACTATTTATAAACTTAAATACAGTATATTGCGTATTAAAATCAAAAATTTAATTTACATATCCATTAATAACAATTAACAAATATCATTATATTTAATTTGGAATACTTTTTTGTTGTTGTACAGTTACAATTACGATATTTTTTTATAATTTATTTGCTATGCTTTTAAAAAAATTCCGCAAATTTCAGCAAAAATTAGCGCACCAATAATGCAAATTATTTTTTGATGGCGTATGTAAATATCCGGAATACTGTTTAAAACCAGGGTCAAAAGTCAATCCAGGTAAATTAGTAATCAAGTCAGATTTGAATGATTTCGCATGTATTAAATAGATATAGCAGTTTGAAATAATTAGTAGCAATAAAAAAAATTGCATAAGTTAATAGCTATAATTCAGCTTGGGCAATTAGCAGCTATGATTGCTTTAGTATAATTTTTATTCAGTATTTATAATCACTTAGTAAACGAAGTGTTTAAAAAAATTGAAGAAATGCATAGTTTATCAGTGATTGCACTTTTTTGACCAATGAAATATTATCAATTGTGTTATTATATTTGACAATTATACTTGATAACTAAAAATCAAAAAAAAGCTTAACAAACTGATAAGGAGATGATAATATATCACAGTGTAACTGATGGCATGCAAAACATTATTTGGAATTTATTAGCAAATTGTTTGCAGTAATCGTTTAACATGTAAACGTACTTATTAATAAATTTTTTGCACTAAACGTGAAACGATGCTTTTTACGAGTGCTGTGGAGAGAGGTGGAAATTAAATATTTTAAATAACTCAAAAGATTAATAATAATAAATGAGCATTTTCTCTATTACTGCTATGCAAAGCAGAAATATTTTTAATTAATAAAACTATTTTGCATATAACATATTTAAGTGTCTTTTAATTCTTAATTTAACGCGTAGTGAATAAAAGATTATCTTGAAATTAAATATTCAAAAAATAACGCTATCAACTCTATCACAAATAATTTGCAGTTGAAAATAAATTCATAAAGTCTTATTTTTAAATGTATTAATAACTTTTTACATTGTACATCAATTTCTATTAGTTACTGTAATATTAATAACTTTAGTTCTGTCAATGTTTGATTCAAAATAATCTTTTTCAATGTTGTCTCTGTTTTTGTTGATTTTTTATTGTTGCGCTTTATATTCTTCAAGCACTTAATGATGCTATCTGAAATGTTTTCAAAAGGTCAGGACATTTTCTCATTTAAAAAATTTTTTCATAGGTCAAGTTCTTTGAAAGAGTTGTGAATGGAATATATATACATAATCAAATTTAGCAGTGTTCTATAGCAGTGAGGCATCAAGAAAATAAATTTTACATTAATCAAAAAAATTAAAAAATATCTGATTTGCTTCTAGCAAATGACTAATTAATATTTTTCATAATGCGCTGTTTTCTGAAATATTTTAAAAATTCCTCATTTATTTGCCATTGTAAATCAAGCCGTAATTTAAGATTTAAGAATTATACTGAAATGTTTTCAATATTTGCTATTTTTTAAATAACAACTGAATAGCCAATAAAAGCTCAATTCGTATTTCAAAACTAAAAAGTGCTTAAATCCGTTGTATATTTGAATTTGAAATGCAATTTTTTATTTTTCTTATTCAATTACAAAAAATTTTAAATTGCACAATTTTTATTAAGTAAATTTTCAAATTTGCATTCAGATCTAGTAATGACATTTAAAATTCAAATTCTTAACGTATTCAAAGTAAAGTCACTTTTTTAGTACTTAAATAAGCGCTAATTATTAAGAAGTATCATTTTGTATTCTAGTAATTTTTAAAAGACAACCAAGTTGACAATGGGAGAAAAAAATTAAAAAATGAAATAAAAACGAAATCGTAAAAAGCTTTCCAAACATTCAGTGAAATTTTTTTCAAATATTTTTATTTTAAACTTTTATGGATTATTTTTGTGATTGAACTACCTCTTTCCAGCTAAATAATTATAACTTGCAGCAACTTTTATAACAGTTAATTAAGAAATTAATTAAAAGAACCAAATCCAACAAATTATTATTATCGTTTTGATCGATTGTTAAATCATCGACTTCTACAATTTAAACGATTATCGTAGTTTTTTCTCACAAGACCAAAATTATCTTTTATTGCCTTCCATTTTTTATCATCTAAATGTACAGTACGCAAACTTGTATTCATAATTAAATTTAAATTTTATATTTATATCAGTAATAGACAATTTTATCTTGTAATAAAGATGTTAACTAATGGAGTGATACCTTTTCCAAGGATGATAAAGAATCAATTGGTGGTGGACAAAATAAAATTGCCAAAATTAGCATAAACGCTGATAGCATTGATCCAAAATTGTAGAACTGAAATTATTATTAATCTATTAAAAGTCTTGATAGACCAAAAGTTAAAATAAAGTAATAATTTTATGCATTTTTCTTAAAGACTATTCTGTGACCTAATGAAATAATTTTAACTATAATATAAGACAGAATTATTAATTTATTCATCTATGAATTAATTTTAATAATGAACAATCAAAATGAATAACAAACTCTCACAGTAACGTTTAAAAAATAAAAGTTCAAATCAACAAATTTTGATGATTATATTAGTACACCTGCTAAATTCCAAAGTTAGTCCAATATTCATTCATTCATTTTATATTAATTAATACAGCTAATAAATACTACCTAACTTATTGACTGCATTTAATCTAGATCAATCCACTGATTTACTTAAACAAATCTTTTAGTTCAAAATTAAGTATTAATGAAGTAAGATAAACTTACTGCAGCACAGATTAGTACTTCAGAATATGGAAATGGGCCACAAAGTGTTGCAGGATTATCTCTGTTGAAAATAATAATAAGAAGTAATATTAAAGCAACTAATGAAGTACCAATTGAAAGTACATGAAGTATAAGTGGCTGAAATTGAGATAAAAATGCAAGCTTGTATTCAAAAAAACAAGATAAATTTTGAAAAAATTAATGTCAACAAATAGAAATTAAAAATTTCAACCAAAAAATTAAGCCAAAAATAGTAACAATTATTATAATCCTTTTTTTAAACCTGTAAAAATATTATAAGTGATCTGATTTAATTAATTCTTCTTGCATAATTTAATTAATTCTTCTTGTTTAACTGTAATAAATTATTTTCTTATAATAATTAATGAAATTTAATTTATTTAATTCCCTTCCATTATCTATTGATTTAATTACAAATTAAATGTAAATTTTTACAAATTTATTAACATACAAAAATTGGAGCAATTCGAGTACGCAAATATTTGAACGCTTCACAAATCAAATTAATAAATTGAATAGCAAATCCGGCTAGTAGAAATGAAAAAGCAATGGTCAATTTGAAATTTTCGACCCATAGATGACGTAAAAAAACGAGCGTTACTGCTACAAATGCCAGAAACTAAACATTATTAGTAATATCAATATTTTGCAGCAAAAATTTACTTTTACATTACAGTAATCTAATCATAAATTGTTGCAAAAGCTTTTGCAAAATCTTTATAATTTATTTTAAACAAAATTTAAATTTGTCTTTTTAAATACTGAATTTAAAACCTATTAAGACTCGTGCATTACTTCGAATTCACAAATTATTGCTTAACTTACTTACTTTAAGAACAATTTAAAAATTTGTGATCAATTAACTTTATTTAAATCACTCAGATCCATCTATTTTTTGATAGTAATAGCATTAGCAGTAAGCAGTCATCAGTCGCAAATTCCCTAAATATCAGAACTGTTTGCTAAACAAACCGCGGAGATTAAAGTTAGCGAATAATATAGTTCTCGTGAACAGACCATCCAATAAATAAGCCCTTTGTAAGAATAATTTTTACTAAAGGTATTTCAATTTATTTGTATTGCTTACAGTTCAAATTTAATAATTCGTCGTGACCTCTCACACAGAATTTTAAAAGTAGAACTTTCAAATCCCCCACCTTGTTTAGTAGTCTAATAGGAGTGCTGACTTGTTTTATAAAAAGAAAAGAAACTTCCTAACACGCAATTCTCCATGTGATTTTATTGCTAGTAAAAAATTTGCTGCGACTGCAAATAACTTGAATCTGAATTATCAAGTGATTACCAAACGCAAAGACGTCAAACATTTTGTAACATTACACTTCATTTACTTGAAAGGATATACCTTTCTTAGATTTCTGGTATGTATATAATTAATCCAGCAGCTTCTTCTTCTCGTTGTAAGAATGTTCATTTTGTGTTCAAAGCATTTTTGCTTCACTCACTGAATTATTTTTCACAAAACATACATCAGTCGATACCGATTTAAATGTGTAAAATATGCACAAGAAATAAACTAAACAGTTGGCGAAGCATTAGAGCGCAGGCAAGATAGATTTACTTTATTAAAGTATTTACATATATCGTTTTCTTGTTAAAATGTAAATGTATTATCAAATTATTCATTAAAAATGGTAAGATAATAAATTACTGAAATAAAAATAGGAAGTGAAACTGATAATAGACCAAACATACAGAGGAACTAGTATTTTACACTGAAACCAAAAATTTCAAAAGTAAACACGAAGGAATTTCTGGAATGGTTTTCTAAAAGCCTTCAAAATATAATATGCATCTACATAAAACTTGAAAAATGTCTTTGAAACATAAACAAAATGTTTCTTTGGAAATATGTAGCATCGAGAAGAAAAATACATAATCTGGAAGAATCATAAACTACTCTAGTCATTAATGCCTTTAATATGCAAAGAATTCAGGCCTCGAACTGTTCGCTTTCTAGCCATTTCTTCACGATTTGTTTCATCTAGTGCTGCGATTTTTTCGCCAAAAATATTTTTAGTTTCCGCCACTGGCCGTGCTATAATGAAATAGCTTTTATTACTATGACAAAAACACAGAGTACACAATGATGAGTCACTCATGCAAAATACAGCACCTGTATATACCAACTATCCTAAAATTTACTTAATGAAAAATTTTGGAAAGTTCAAATTTACAATATATGATTTTTTGTAAATTCCTTTCGTGCCCTTTACAATACTATTTGTAAACATGGAATAAAAGTTTAAATGATATAAACAGCTCTAAACTTGTGAATAAAACGTCATTGAACACATTTTTTTTCAGACAACTGAAATATGATGAAGAATCTTAAAGCAATTAGAGATGCGTTGTTAAATGACAAAAACAAAAATACTCTGAAAAAATTCAAAACTAATATACTGTGAATCAGACAGTGAATAATTTAACTTACTGCTTTTCTGATCATATACATCCCATAAAACACTATCCCAATCTCCCGCATTTGAAACTGACGACGATTTCTTAACTGAAATACACCATACAGTACACACTCCTTCCGCTGCCGCAAGTTTTTGATCATTTTTTCAAAGTACTAAGAATTATAATTTTTACATCCTTGCTATAAAATTCTTGCAAAAAGAAGAGACAATACTCCTACCTGAACTGATATCATCCTCCCAGCCATCTATAAATGAACTATCATTCCAACCATCTGTAAGCGCGTTGCCAGTATTTTTCGAAAGCAGTGAGTTCTTACTTTTAGCCCCACTCTTATAAATCTGATCAAATGCACTTGGTTCCGACTTTATATCCAACAAATAATCCAAATCATCCTCAGCTGAAAAATATTATTGTCATTTTCCATCTATTCCACAAATTACTGCCTTTAAAACTATTTTAAATACTTCGCGCCAAAAATCCAAAAGCATGTCTTGACTTAACGAGGCGGCAAAAGGTATTTATGCTACTTTGTTAGTTGTTAATAACCCAACAATTAGTTAACATTTACAATAATGAAATTATGCCTCAAAAAAGGATTTAAAAAATATACATATATAATGAACCTCCAAGTTTTTTAGCTGTACTTTGCAAATTCAATCCTGTTTTTATAGACGATTTCTTCAGTGAACTTGATAGAGTCGTGAATGGATCTTTCTTTTCCGTTATCTGCAAAAAAAATCAATTTAGTGCATTGCATTTCAACAATCAGATTTACATAATGAGCATTAATGCAGTACAATATTAAATGTATGCCTCTAATTAAAAAATAAATCACGAAAAACATGACCAACATTTCCAGTCACTCATTTTGTAGCAACATGAAATTAAGAAGTCAGTACAGTCGTTGGTTCCTTCTGCCAGTAAATAATCAATTGTTTCGTAGCTCTAATTTTTATAAAAGCTTTGAAACAATTCTTGCAACATGTGATTAAAATGTATACAATATATTAGCTTTTATTACAACACCACTTGAAATTTTCAATAAAAAATTATGACTACCCCTTCCCAATTGTCATCCCATCCATCAGTAGTCTTTTCTGAATGTGCTGCAATGGTATCATCGGCATCTTCCCATTTATCTTCAACAGAGGAATTATCTTCTAGTTCACCACAATCATCATTTAAAAATGTCTCTGGAGAGACTTCATGCAATTTTAATGCTGATGATTTGCTTGTACTATCTACCGATTTTTGACGGCATGCATCCTCTTTGTTAGTTGGACTGAGTGGATTCTGTGCCGAACTCTTGTAGAATTTACTCGAAAGTGCTTTTATTGCCCAATTTGCCCATTGTGGTACCTGCAATACTTTACATTTTATTATATTAATCAATTGAATATGATTACTGTTCCCTTATTTAAAATGTATCTTTTTCATCGTTTAACGACACAAATTATTTTCTAGCTTCATTAATTTAGAATGATAATATTAAAACAAAAAACCTTGTCACTGCCAAGCAAACCATTTTTTCCTCCTGCTTTTACTTGTGCTTCAAGTTCTGGTATTAGTTCAGGATTTTCGCTCGCCTTTTCCAACTTTTCAATGAAACCATGCAGTGCTTTGAAGCTCTGATCCCTTACCTATATTTTATAAACATAGTTATTGAAATTTAAAGTCTTATTCTTTATAAGAACTATAAAAAGGTTTACTTTTTTAGCAACGAAAACAGTAAATTTAAAGTTAAGTCTTTTATCCACCTGCTTTTCTGGATCGCAGGTGATTGGTGACAAAGCTGGTAATATCCGATTCGCAACTTCTACTAATGAGTAATACTGTTGGGTAGCACTAAGAGCTAATATAGCTGCCATTCTTGCAGGAGGAAATGGATCTTTAAGCGCGCGAGTAAATGCGCTGATTAAAATGCGTTGACGCTGATTAGGATCAATGTAACAACCAATTTTACCAAGGCAGATTGTTGCATTTGTTCGGATGCCGGGTTGATCATCTGAGCCTAAAAAGATTACAGTATAAATTGCCATCTCAATGCTTTCTTATTTGCAGCGTCTACTTCTCAAAGAAGGCGAAAGACTGGGTACAGCCACAGTTAAATTGTCAAAGAAAAATCTATAAGAGACCATTTAGGGAAGAAATCGACTAAAAGTACCTTGCAACCTTGCCAAATGACGCATCAAATCAATATTTAAGTTCTGGCTACTCAGTTTTTCAGCCAATGAAACCACGGCTTTTACTGTACTTTCACGAACAGCAGGACTAGTATCCATAAAACCAGATACAATATTCCTATACATAGATTTTGAAATAAACTATCCCAACTAATATACATGCAAACAAAATCTGTTAGCATACAAAAAGTCGCGCAACAATTTTTTATAGCAGAATCAGCCAAAGTTAACGATCAAATGTGATGCAATCACAATAATAATGAAATTAGACATCAGGAATTAAAAAGAAAAGAAGCGTAAAGCTATCTAAGTTCTGTAAGAATTATATGTAGTATGCAAAAATACGGATAATCTTTTTACAACAGCAAAAGAGAAAAGTTTTACTTTGCAGAAACTGACCCATATATTTTTTCGTTCACAATCTGAAATGTTAGATGAGAGATGAATTCGTCGATTTTTTCCAATAATTTTACACGTGTCACACGATCTGGTGAACTAAACAATTTACAAAGACAAGGCACAATACGCTGTTGATATTCATTTTCATCCAACAAACGTCCCAAATGAAACAGTGGCGTCAAAACGTGTGATCCAGCATCACCATATTCATAACTCTGCAGTACAAATTCTAAAATAACCAGAACTATGATTCTGTGTCGAGAGTAAGTTTAGAAACTAAACAAAAAATGGTCACTTTTTAAACTGATTGCTTTCAAATAGCAATAAATGAAGCAATAACAATATCCTGATATTACAAAACCAATGCAAAATATCACCCGATTGAGGAACTGACTCATCTTCATGGTGAGAGTCATCCACCACTAAATAATATTTATCAAAAAAAAAGAGCAAAATCTATTCCTAATGACTATCGGACATACATGAATCAATTTCGGAAGGATTCTGTATTTGGCAACGTCATCTGGAAAAATATCCAATTCATTCTTCAGCTCTGAGAAAAAAACTTGTTTTTCGTGAGGCTCTTTTAATTGGAATTCATCCAGAAACAGGAGCGTGTCAACGTATCGGTTTTTAAAAAAGCCACCCGCACGACGTAATTCTGAAATAATGTTTCTCAAATTACATATTGCAGTGATCTAACTGAAAGTTTTTAGAACTATTTGTTGTGTACGAACGTTTGTATGAGTTTTAGCCCACATTTTTCAAACATGAACAGATAATTTATTGGTTTATAGAGTACTTTTATTTACAGGAATTAAGATGAAATAAAAAATTTCGCCAAGAACATAACTGGAATTTATAATACAGAACCTCTCAATAAATCTCCAGAATCCTGTTTTGCTGCTTGAGATGTCGCCATTTTTTTATAATGCTCTTGCAATCGCTCAGGAACTTTTTTCGGTCCTTCTGGTTTTGTCTTTGACTCATCGAAACCATTGAAAATTTCCCAGGTTAGTAAGGCTAGCGAATTTAGATCAACACGAGGATTGCTAAAAAAATGAAACTTGAAATTATCAGTCTTTTGAAAATAATTATTAGGACAAAATGAACAATTATAATGACAAATCACTGATAAATCTTTAAGAAACCCAAAGAGCGTTTCTAAATACAATAAATACATACCTAAAACTAACTGACTTCTCAAAACCACCAAGTTTCCAGTCTCCACTTTTAGTGACATATACAGAATGTCGAATATCTTCATGACTTAATTTAGCTTCTTGGTGTAAGAATTTTAAGCAATTCTATAATTTCAAAATCAAGTTGTTTCACAAGTATTTACTCGAAAACTGATGGATTTCTTATAACTATACGATAAATTACGAAAATAAAGATAACATGATAGATTCCCAAAGCTTTAACTCATCCCGTGTCATGCAACTGCTTTTAATGTCACGTACGATACATTTAAATATTTCAGAATAAAACTCGACTTAAGCCATAATACTAAGCAATCAACATGCCTTACTAGGAGATAAATCATAAAGTTACAATAATTCAGCCTAAAACTTCGAAATATGAATAAAATCAACTAATAAAAATGACATATTCATATACCATCAATTGAAAGAGACCCCAAGATATGACTAAATCTTTCTGCGTACCAGAGAAATGATTTTGCGTAACGTAAATTTTCAAAGGTACACAAGTTTCGGTTATCAAATAAAACATACCATTAATCTGCAACGGAAGACTGGATAAGACAAATATTAGCAAGAAAAATTGGAAACCCGAAGTTAACAAATGAAGATTCTAAAACATTAAAGCTCAAAAGATAATTTTATACTCAATTGAATCTTATTACTAAAATATAATATTGACCTCAATGCTATCCAAATAAACCAAAACGTTAGGGTGCCGAAGGGTCTTTAGCTTACGTGCTTGAGATTTTAACATTGATCCTGGACCATATTCCGATAATGATGCCCAGAAACAGGTGACGTATTCTGAAGGTTCGGCCTGAAATAACATTCTCTGTTACAAATATATAAAAAATGGAATCTAACAAAAACATTGTACAAAACCAATGTAGTAAAGTTTAGTTCGAATTTTATTTCTCTTACCTTTTTGAAACTTTTTCCAACTGATATACCATCAAACGTATAGAAACTACTGCTAGGCAGTTCATATGGAAATACACTCTTGGGATCACGTGAAAAAAGTGACGATATTAAAGATGTCATCAATTTTACTGTAAGATTAAAAAATAAATTAAATGAACGAAAAGCTATCAAATTTTGTGCAATGAGACGCTGAAAATATATTCTATTTCATAACTATCTAATTAATAAAACTATTTGAACGAAAAGTCAATCTTTAACGAGAGTGGTCACTACTTTTCTTTGGAACAAAAAAATACTAAAAGTCGTAAAAATAAATTCGCTTAGTTACACAAATTTTTTTCAATTTCTTAAGATATGCACACCATCAACAATCACAACTTTTGAGTAATATAGAAGGAAATGTCAGTAGTAAATTAGACTCATAAAAGTTACGGAACTTAACAAAATACTACCTTTTATTTCCAGATACTTTAAAGTTTAGCAAAGTGACCCTTAACCAATCAAACTTAATACAAATCAGCAGTTTTGTGCATTTAATCAATTTTCGCGAATTTTTGATATTATTACTAATTTCTGATGTCTTATGTGTTACCATTCATTTTTCTTCTTTTCATAACATCAGTTCTATCATTTTTAAATTATACTTTTAAGATAAAATGTAAAAAATTTGTAAATAAAATAATTTTCTCCTTAAAAAACATTGCACAATATGCAATTTTTTTGCATATATTAGACAATCACTTCAAAATTTTCGAAGGTCACGTAATCATAAGCATACATTCGTCGCAAATTCAGGGCAAAAAAAAAAACAGATATAGAAGTATATATGAATACTTGCGCTAATTACTTGTCGTTTGCTTGTTTTTGGAATAGCAATGATATCCAGTGATGTACTCTATTCTGTACATTCATAATTCCTAGCAGCAAAAATGGATATAAAAAGATATGAGTAAAATACACGCAAAAATAATTGTCAAAAAAAAATGCCTGTACTTGCAACTGTTTGAATCCATATTATTCTAAAATATATGAATATTAAAATGTATGCAAAAATCAGATCTTGCAGTTTAATGTTTATCACTGTGTGGTGGAGTTCGTACAGCAAGCACTTCTGCTGCAACATTACGGGCTTCAATGGAATCAGGACGTTCCACAACTAATGTAACATTTCCTGAACGTAATGCCTAAAATTCATTCATACTTTTAAAAAACTTTAGACAAATTTTTTTTTACTTTGAAAAGTATAAACAAAGCTTAACAATTTAATTCTGTGAGAAAATAACCGTTCAAATTTTATCTTTAGCTTTTTTCGAGGTTATTTACTTTCATTTACGATATTTAGTATGAAAAATGAGTGAGTATTCTTTGTGCAAGTTACAGAAAGGTTTTGAAAAATTTTTTAAAAACATTTTCATATTTTTTTTTTGTTTTTAATATTTGTTACACATTTTTAAAAATATTTTTACATGTTTTATTAAAATTTGACTAACATTTAGAATAGCTTTTTTTGCCATTTTTTTGTCGTTAATAGTTTCTTCTTCAACTAATAATATTCTATCGCCAACCAACAAGCATTCAGCTGCTGACATTTCTTGTTCTACATGTGTTACATATACACCACCATTCTGACCATTTTTCACTTGCTGAAAATATTTTCATACTACAAATTAATGGATTAGTCGCTGTTGTATACAAAAATACAAAATATTCTTCAAACTACTGTGTGCTTGTGCTCTTTTTATAAAAAAATTTGCACAATTTTTATTCATTTTATCTCTGGTACAAAGTTTTAATTTATAAATTTTGAATTTTTTGCACTTATTTCATCTTTGATATAAAATTTGACTTTATAAATTGCTTTAATCCAAAAAAAAATACAATTTTTTGATAGTCTGTCTTCAATATTATTTGGTTAAAAATGTAAATGTCTGTAGCATATATATTCTTTTTTTGACAACATCAAAATTTTCGTATACTTGTAATCTTTTAAGTCTCCAATAAACTTGAGATCGAGGCAAGAATGCTCTAAATCCTTCAGAATAATTTTCATGCAGAAGTTATGGAAATGTTCTTCAGACCGATTCTTTGCTAATTGAAACTGCACACAATTCATTCATTCATTACCATGCGAGTAAAGAACTATTTCTCAGTCAGTCATTCTTGTTAACTTCAATATTTCAACACTGCACCAGACGTGATATAATTATCTTCATGGCTGCTCAATGCTATGCAGTATTATTTATCAAATTTAAAATTATTATAGTATATAAATGGTCTTCTGAACTGCAATGCTCCGTATCTCCTTTAAAAGCTCTTTATTTGTATGACATATGACATATACGAGGGGTCATCAGAGTGGTGTATTTGCTTATTATTAGTGTTCTTTTGGTTATCACTGAGACGGAAGCTAATTTTGATGAAAGTTCACGTAAAACTCATTAAAAATGTGTTCAGAAATATGCACGAAGTTACTTAGTAATTTTGTAACATTATGCAAGATTAGTAAGGAAATAGTGCATGATCGAATGTTTATATTTCCTACAAGTAAACATGAAGAATTGATTGATGACTTTGTAGCGTTAAATCTTTGTAATTTCGTTGTAATGCCCTTCCAATTTCTATTCAACTAGATTATGCAAAACGTCACGACCTCGGCAGGATTCGAACCTGCAATCTTCGGTTCCGTAGACCGACGCGTTATCCGTTGCGCCACGAGGCCCTTGGGTTAAGCTAGTGAAGAATAATTTATATCCTAACCAGTTAATATCAAATTTACACATTTTTTGATAGTAGTAAATTCTTGTAGTATTCTAAGCTTGCAGAAGGTTTAGCCTTACAAAAGTAACGAGATGAAAGAGACTGATATGAATGATAGAATGAATGCAAATGTATTATTATTCATTCATTCATTCACCACTTCATACAACTGCAATTGCCTCCACAATGAAGTGAGTCATTCATTGCAAAATCATAGAGTTTTACCAGAGAGCACAAAGGTCAACCAACGAGTATTAGTCATTGATGGAAGTGAAAACTGCGTGACTGCACAAACAATACGAACACAGCAAACGAACGAACCAAGCCAAGCTTTCCTGCTGAGTTTTGCAGCGTTAGTTTCACTCTGAGATAAATGAAACCACTCTGTTTGATAATACTTTTGTCGTGTACGTATTGTTCACGCTTAATTTTTTCTCCTCGATCTTTCATTCGATGCACACTCAATCTGAACTTTTTATTTCTACGTTATTTTTACGTTCTATTACAAGTAAAAGATATCACGCTATGAATTGTTTTAATTTCGAAATTTTGCAAATTTTTGAGATTATTTTAAATTTTTGATATTGATATGATATATTGCTTTTATGATTGTAAGTTAAAAAATTTTTATCCTTCATACTTTACTCTTTCTCTTATCATATCATTTACTTAAGCTGTTTGTATTTAATCAAGCAAGTACAAGCATTTTTATCATGATTGCCACTACGATATTAATTGTCATTTTATATCTTTCATTTTCTCCTGTTTTTTTTCGCATCTATCAAGCTATTACAACCAAATATACTATTACCACAGTACTGATATTAGCCCCAATAATAGTAAAATCACTATCATCCATATTATTTACTTAATCTTAATTTTGTATTACTCTGAGAGTCTATCTCTCGCCCTTCACTTTGCGAATCGTTTACTGCTAAAATAGAGTTGTTTTTTATTCAGAAGAAACTTCGAATTTCATATTCATTTGCGTAAATTGTGTCATCACATTAATTCTTTTCTTTTGCATTTATTTTTCAAAAAAAGATTTGTTATGAAGTACTAAATATGCATGCCTTGAAATATGATGCTTTTGATGAATACGGTAGAAAGCCTGACGATTGCTTATTGAACGATTGTTAATTGCTAATATTTTGTCTCCAATATAAACGTGATTCTCTAATGCACAATTCCGCTGCACAAATGTAACAATTAACTAAAATAGAGGACAAATTTTCAAAACAAAATTCGCTAATAATTTACATCTGCAATTTTCAATAAATTATTCAAAAAGTACTGATATAATGAAGTAATCTCTTGTAAAATGCTGTAATTGCTTACAGGCATGACAATAGCAGTAGTGAAGTAATTTCATCGTAACAGTTCTAACTTTTGTACTCTTTTATTTATTGTTTTTCGATTTGTTTATTACCTAATAATCAAAAATATCCATTTACATTTTATCAATTTTTACACTTTTTCCTGTTCTTTCAGGTTATGGAAAAAAAGAGAAAGGCAAATTAATACATTATATTATATTTTTCTCTCCATTTTTCATAGCTTATTTATTTATTTTTAATATATGATTTCTGGAACTTATTATACTATTTCAACCAAATATTTGTATTAAAATATTATCTGTACTAATTATTAATTATTGTACTGTAGTCAATATTAATAACAATGTTCACTTCAATGCAAATCTGCTGACGCATTTACGTTTACTTTTCTGTAATTAATGCGAATTATACGCCAATAACGAAAACGAGATTTGAATTTTACTAGTAATGGAAATGTAAATCTGAGCATTGAACATAATAGACGAACTTTGATAAAAATAAATGTTTTTAATAATTTTTAATATTACTTCAAAGAAACAAAAGCGATGATATTTGTTTTAGAGATAAGTAAATTAGAAAGACATGCATAGTGAAGTATTTGTTATTCATTTTATCAGTGAGAAGAAATAAACAAATACACAACAGGTTTTGCCAAGTTTATTACTACTCGACTCTTGTATTCACTAATTCTGCAAATTTTATTTTCTCATCGCAGCCTGCTCAGTCGTGCAATGATACAGCCTTCTATATTATTTTAATTCTGCTCTAAAAGTTTTATATATTGTTCGACTACAAAACTTACCTTTTATTCTAATTTTGAATTTAGTAACGACTCAATATTTATGTATAAATTGTAGACTGATAATTCAATTATAATTCAATCATTTTGCTTTCAACTTAGTTTTTGACAGAGTTTTACATAGTGCAAAGTTTCTATTGTTTGTAAATTATGTAAGAATTATCATGACTGAATCACCATTAGTAACTGACATGATAGCAAAATAATTAAGCTCTAAATTTGTTCAAATTTTGATTGAATCTGAAGTGACGCAAATTTAAACGTTGACAGCAAGCATTTACGTGTACAAATGTGACCTCAGATGTGGTAGACACTTTCAGAACCATAATTCATAAACTGCGCGCTAGTGAGATTAAATCGCGGCCCATGAGAAAGTTATTGTTATGGAAAATGACAACGAGAAAAAAATTTTTGTTAGCAGATCAAATTTTGCATGTTTTTTCTTACATCATTGGTGTATAAGATACCGGGCAGTTCACCTGCCTCGATATTGACGCGCAATTCAATTACTTCACCGCTAGCCATGCTGACTTGAAATTGTTATGACTTTGGATCTTACTAATCATCTATTTATTCTAATTTCAGCTGATACTTCATGTGCAAAATGGCATATCTTTTTTTGTGTGTGACATGCATGTGACTAATTCATTATTACAATTAATATCTCGCACAAGCGTAAGCTTTTTCATCTAAATTGAAAGCTCAGGAAATTAATTTGATCTGTTTCGCTCATGTATGGCCCGTTTCAAGACACAAATTAAATTTACTCATCATTTGCCTTCATAAAGTAATCATGGACAAATTTGAATTACTACTTTGTAATTTAGAACTTACCTATCGTAAGTGTCTATCATCCAAAATATCAAATTTTAATCAAAATGAAACGTTAAGATATGTGGGATTTCTAAGTGTTGCATGACGTGAAATCATACTACGATCAAATACACGAATTATGGATTATGGTAAATAGCGAATGAATTGCTAGTTGTGTGTTTGCTAAAATTATTGCATTTGTTTCAGATTTTAACCATTCTGTTGATAGAGTTTTATTTTTATTTATTCTTCGATTGATTGATTGCTAAATTAGTATCAGCTGAAAATGAATATGAGAATTTTGTACATTGGAGCATTGGCCATAGGTGCCATATGTATTATTATTGGTGTTCTGTCCATGACTCTTATTCCATTATCTATTACAAAAAGAATTGAACAGGTTTACTTTTCATATATTATTAGATTTTTAATGTGAAAAAGCTTGCAAATTAAGAAGGTAAAATGTTTGATACTTTGTGGAAATCATTTTCAGTAACTGGCTAGTAGAAACATATGCTGTTTTATTAATTAAATAGTTAATGCATTTTACATCAGTTGTTTAATTAATTTTAGTGCTGAATTCGTAAATAAAGTAAGAAAATATTAGCTTGAAAATTTAATTGCATAGTTTTTATGCAACTTCTGTAAGCTGTACTTTGAGTTGTTCAATCTAACTTTTCGGGAATTAGTGAAGAAAAGTTGTGTTATGTAAAACTTGGTTTAGTTAAAAGCTAATCTGGAAATTCCCGAAAAGCATAGTTTCAGGATGAACATCTGGGTTATGACGAAAATGGTACTTTTAATGCAATGACCAAGCGTTGGATTGAGCCGAAATACAATATGAAAATTAAAGTTTGGGTTATTTCAGTAACCAATCCAGAAGATGTAGTTAATGGCAGTTATCCTGTAGTCACTGAAAAAGGACCTTACGTGTACACGTAAGTTTCTAATGCAGTTCTTTGCTTATGAGATGAATTTTCAAGCTTTTTGAAACTTATTATCATCACAGCTAGCAGCAAGAAAAGCTAATGTTGTCGTTATCAACTACAGTAAGTTTGAAAGAATAATGTAGACTTCATATGTGATCATTAAAAACAAAAATTTTTAATTAATTAATTTACAGAGAACATCAAAAGAAAATTAAAGTAAAGTTCATGCAGAATGATACACGTGTATTATATCGTAACAGGCGCCGTTATGTTTATAGTGAAGAAGAATCATGTGCAAACTGTAGTTTACTTGACTCAGTCATGATACCGAACCTTATGTTCCAGGCACGATTTGTTGTAATAGTGTTGAAGATGTTTCAGTAGCAAACTTAAGTTTTAAAGATATATTGGAATGTATTTATAAAAATCTCCCATGTTTTCCCAAGCAATGTAAGTTGACTGTACAGAAATAAGGGCTAAGTTATAGTCATTAGTTTTTGAAAGTAATATAGTTGAATTTACAAAATTAATCCTGTTAAAATTACTCTTTTTTTTACTCCATGCAATCACTTAAAATTGAGCTAAATTTATTTTTCAGTTAGTGCTTCAAGTGGCCTCCAAAAGTTCTCCATTTGTGAAGAATATCATAAAGTCTGCATTTAGCAGGTTTAAACGAGAAACACCATTTATAAATGCAACCGTAGGCGAGGTTTCGTTTTTAACTTCTTTTTTCTATTTTTCTTCTTAATTTTTTCTTTCTGGTGCTACATAATCGTTTTAGCGTTTGATAATGTTTTTTAGATGACTAAAAATTTCGTTGTGTCATTGTTTAGGTTCTGTTTGATGGATATGAAGACCCAATGATTAAATGGGTTTGTGATAAAGTTCGGCCTCTGTGTAGTGTTGCAAATATTCCTACGCGTATAAGATTTTTGGTAAAAATTAAAAATTTTTGTCGAAAAAAAACTGCAGTATCTTGGCAGTGTTTTTGAATTTCAAAAAAAAATATTCATATATAGATTTTTTAGTCAGTAGTGAAAATCGTGTTATTTACGATATACTTTTCACGTCATAATATATTGAAAATTGAATGTAAAATATGGTGAACAACTTTTTCTTCTTACTGTGTAATAAGTGACTTTCTGAAGTTTTATTTTTGAAGTAAAATAATAGCATTTGTGAAATTTTTTGGTGTAATCAAGCAGAATGAGGTTTTAGGAAAATGATACAGTTGATGGGGAATATTTGATTGGTACTGGGTTACGAAGTAACCAGGAGCTTGGTCACGTTTACGCGTGGAATGGACAAAATGAAACTGTTTGGTGGAGTACTGCGCAAGCACGAATGATTAATGGAACAGATGGCCAACTTTTCCCACCATCTATACAAATATACAGAGATTTGCCAGTTTTCTTGGGGCAATTGGGGAGGTATGTTCTTATTCACATTTAAAACATACATTTCTTAGCAAATTTTTTTAATTTATTCGTTGAATTGAGATCAATAGAATGGAGTACAGAATGTATAAAAAATGATATCTTATAAGTTTGCGTCGTTACAGAAGAGAATATATTTGTAAAACTTGTGAACATCATCCTATTTCCAGAATCATACAAATTTAAGTAATATAAAAATTGTTTGTAAAACATTTTCTTAATCGTTTGAATACTTGAAGTATTTCACTAAGATTCGTTAGGTACTTGTTATAAGTTGTATAGACAATGAAAAGAATAATAAAATTCAGCTAATATTTTTTTTTGCTGTGTGTAGTAACGGAATATTATCATCACTGTATTTAAATTTCAAATGTAAAAGTATATTTAAGTTCATAATAGCGAGTAATCGATAATACTTTTATTAACAAGTTAGTATGTATCGAGCTACTAAGTTTTAATAGACCTCGGGTTGCAATCAAAAAGTAATCAGATCAGATTGCAAGTTGTATATTAAAGCAGTATTAGTGGTATTCAGTTGAAATTTAGCTTGTTCTTCTTTCCAAATTAAATCATAACAAAAACCGGATAGACTTTTGAAGCAGATTTTTGTCTTATTTGGTTTGGTAAATAATTCTGGAAGCGAAAAAAAGTGTAAGCGATATCTTCATTCAGGTTTTCATCATAAAAAGCCCTTTATATTTGGAGATTGGTTCGCAGGAAAATTATTATTTTGTGAATTCTTGAGTTGGTGTTTCATTTGCATATACACGAGAATAATTTTCATTTCTTGGCTGGAGTTAGAGCTCCCGTGGCCTAATGGATAAGGCGTTGGTCTCCTAAGTCAAAATTTCTTGGAAAGGAGTGAACCAACGATGGGGGTTCAAGTCCCCCCGGGAGCCTAATGTTTTCTCTTCTTGTACATGTTTTTCTAAATTTTCATGAGCTGAAAAGTTTCTGCTTGTGGAGGTTAGTAACCAAGAGCAAAAATGAATTTATAGCGGGCAGTTTCGTCAAAAAAGCTTTTCATTATTGAGAAGAGGTATTGATTTGGTAAAATTCAGACCGCATAGATATTTCAGAAGACACGAAATTCATAAGATTTGAATTTCTAACTTTGTAAGAGCTTTTTTCTATCTACAAATTAAGTACGATCTTTGTAAGCAGTATTTTTTGTATTACGTAAATTTTTTCTAATTTTGGTATACAGGTATGGGAGTTATTGTTGGCTGCATTTAGTTTTATAAGCATCGCCATCTTCTCTCTCTCATGCAAAATTTTGTGCCCTTTTGACATTTTTTTTTAAATTTATACAGTTTCTTGAAGTAAATATTTATTGTAGAAGAAAAAGAGGTTTCTCTTAATAAATAACTCTTGTTTAAGGAAGCATTTGTTTTAAAAAATGCTGCAAGTTTTATGTAATGCTGTAGGTGCATAGAATAAAATTAAGTTAAATGACGTATACGATGAAAAAATTTCTGCTGAGATTTATGAATTTCAGATCAATTCACATGCGATATGACAAGTCTGTAACATATAAAGGTATACCGTCCTATCGATTTGTGATTCCTTCAGATGTTTATGATCCATTTCTACCAGAAAATAAAGGATTTTGTAATCCTGAAATACCTCGTTATTTCAGTCATGATATTCAGCCTGGTAGGTTTGTATAATAATTATTAATGTGAATAACTTATACTTTAATTGAGATTTTAAGCGTTGAGCAAAATCCTGCATTTACTCGTCTTATCAACTTAGTTGATCACTAGTGGAAATTATTAGTAATTGATTCTGTGATATTAAGATGGATGTTTACCTGCTGGCATGTTCGATATCGGCCACACAAAACTTGGATCTCCTCCAATATTTATGTCCGGTGTTCATTTTTATCAGTCGCCTGCACAAGTGTATCAAAATTTTGTCGGTTTTCCTCATCCAAACTGCAGTGACCAATCATATATTGACATTGAACCAGTTAATTCATCTTTTTCTACTTATATTGTTTTAAATGAACAGAAATAGATATTTAAGTTCTTTATCCAGCAGAGCTATCGAACTTTAAAGTTGCAATTTGTTAGTTCATTTTAAACATTCGGGCAGAATTATTTATTAATAAAAATAGAAAACTGTATTCATTTTGTTATTTACAAGAACATTATTATCATTTTGTATCATTAGAACATTTTCATTTATTGCTGAAAACTGTTATCATTGCAGTTAACGGGTGTTATTCTGAATGCTCTGGGTGCATCTCAAATTAACGTTGGAATGATTAATGATACTTTTTAGTCAGTTTTTTTTTTTACTTTGCTGTATTTTAAAAGCAAAATTGAATGCATTCAATATATGTAATGAAGAGCTGAAAATATGCATACTATTTTCACATAGTATGTTTTATATTTTGCAATCTGTCTTTAGCGTAAACATTTGTAAATCTGTATTGACGACTATATATTTATAGCTTTTGTAAATTAAAATTCATCCATTAAAAATCCATTCGTATAGTTAATGAGATTAGAATCATAAATATAAGATTCTAGTGCAGAGGTCTGTTTTTTGATTGACGGCTAGGAAGTGTTAGTTTCAGTTAGTTTTCATACTTTGTTGTATTAGCAGAAATATATTTTAGTTTGCTAATTTATTTATCTTCTAGTTTTTTCCAAAAAATACCGAGTATGATCGTACCAGTTTTATGGTTAAAAGAAATAATAAATGTGGATGATGACACGAGAAAAGAGCTAGAAAGTGTTGGAAGATCGTCTCGAATGGTAATTTTTAAAATTCGAGTGTAGTGATGTAATTCCCTAAGGAAAAATCAAGAACCTCAATCCATATTTCTTTTTCGTTACAGAGCTGATATAAACATGCAGAGTTTTCAGTAATTAGTGGAGATTAATGAAACATCTTTTTTTGTGCTGCTTACCGTTATACACGATTAAAACAAACTTGGTCGTGTTTCTAATCAACAGCTATTTTTTATTATAACACCTGTTACAGGCATATATTATTGGCATTCTGATGGTCGGTTTGGGGTTGCTTCTGTGGGTAATTTTCTTGGTATACTCCATGACACAAATATATCTGAGAGTAAGTTGTTTTTGGTGTCAGAATATTTCCAGCAAAGTTTTCGGATTTTTTCATTTTTCAGTACCGTTGTTCTAAAATTGAATAGGGTTATTCCGGAAGGAACTTTCTAATTCTGGAATCTGCTCTTCTGATTTGACATAAAAGTAGGAAAATGACAGATCTAACATTTCTCAATAATCCCTGACTTTTCGTATCTCAATAAACTTCCGAGAACAAAGATTGAGCCATCTTGTTTTAGAAGGATACCAGTGAGGAAGAGCATCTTACTGAAGGTGACACTGATTACTGAAATTATTTTTGCGGCAGTTGATCCCCGATTTGTGCACTTGTCTTGTTGATGGAAGTGCAGACATCAAGTGGATTCTTGACTGCAGTTCTGAACTATTTTGAAATTCTCTTTAAAGTACAGTAATGTGTGCTTGAAAATGCAAAAGTATTCTGCAAATAATCAATTTAGTTTCATTTTAACCAATCAGTAGAGGGAAGATTAATGATCAAAATTGCAATTTGTGATTTCAAGCGGTAAGGAACTCTGACATATAGATTTTAGGAGGTTTCTGTATTTATAAAATGCGAAAATAGTTCTCGAACTCTTCATTCAGCCTCATTTTAAGCAAGAAAGAACTTCATTATTTTATTATAAATCAGTTTTGCAAATCTTTTTACTATAAGTGCATGAAACACTTTGTTATCTTTTGATATTGTACATTTACTTCAATTTCTCAGAAATTTATTCGGTCTGTGCAAATATAAAAAATACGAGTAATCCGTCTGATGAAGTTAATGATATTCTTGCATGTTGTAAGTTGCATAAATAATATTGCTGAGCCTTTTTACACCAAAGAACTGACAAAAAGCAAGCTAGGTTGTTACTAACGGTTACAATGGAAAATAAGTGTCTCTTACATGAATTAGATATGTCATTCTCTCTTGACTAGTAATGCCAACGTTCTTGTACTTAATAATATTCGTGCTCGCACAAGAATTTCTGGTAAGGAGGTACTGTTGTAAGAAACTCAGCCCTGACCCGAAAAAGCTATGACAAATGTGAGCAGAAATTTTGGTGAGGACTAAGCAATTAGCCAAAACTGCACTAAACGACGAGGACTTTGTCAAAGCAATGAACGAGTATGTCATAAGTTTAATAAATTATTACATGAAAGTGCTCAGGCTGAAGCCATAAAGCTTCAAAAGCTATATATATACCACGATATCAGACAATTACTGAACACACAGGCATTCACAATCCACCTGCATGCTTAGAGAAATCTGCCATAGGTCGAGCCTGGAATGTGGACTTTATGATGCTGTACAGAAGAGTGAGCTTTTCCTTCTCCAGTTTTACAAAGTTCTTGTAAATATCGAGCCTATATTCACCACAAGCGCTGCAATTTTGATTCAGGAGAAGGCTCAGAACACGTACTCAACAAATACTGTACCCTATTTAGAGACCAGATACAATCGTAGGAAATCCAACCATCGAAAACGTACTAGCAGTTCAGAAAGTGCTCGTGTACAGCGAGATAGAACATTCAAGGCTAAACAAGATGCCGATGAATATGCTCCTGTCGATGGATGACTCATTAATCTGGCAACGACACGGAAACAGGCAGGAGAATACATCTTTATAGGGGAACAAGTACACAGGTACATGCACAGGAAAGCAAAAATACATAGAAACAGACACACACGTACAATATGCAATGCACGGAATACCATATGAGCAAACAAAACGAACATAAACATACAGACAAACGTACAAGGAGAACATGTACACAAATGTCACGCGTGCATATCAGCACATATGCTGCTATACGTGCAGAAAGATGCACACATACAGAGGCAGCTTAGAGCTCATATACACAGAAACGCCTGCAGAACCAAAATGTATGCAGAAATACCAACTCACGGATCAATGAACGCGTAAGCATACGCATACATCCACAATTGCACATTCAAAATTACCTCCTCTCATGTATGCCTACTCACACCACACACACAATGCGAGCACATCTAGACAGGTACACATCTGCACATACAAATACAGACGCATATGATGAACGCACAGACATACGAATACAAGCACACATACGTTCACAGTCACACGCCTACGCACCTTTATGATATCTGAGACAGTCTGTGATCTGAGCACAAGAGAAATCGATCACAATTGTGAATCCATTCGGTGGACCACAACAAATAAAATCCAACACTACCTTTTGTGTTCTTTTTTTCTTTAGCAGAAATTTCATTAACATAAGAGCGAAGATGTTGTGAGTATCTCACTAGCACACAAGCTATTACAGCACACAAAATGTACAGTCCATGAATGTACCGTCAATGAACAAACTACAAATTACACAAAAAATACGATATTTTTTTGTTTCAATTCAAGTTCATTACAATATGAACTACATGTCGGGCTGATATATAAAATTTAAAACTTTTCAATAGCGTGTCTTTGCAAGAAAATTATGAAGATCACCACCGCTATGGTTGAAAAAGGATAAGAAGGTGAAGTAGTATGCAAATTTTACTTATTGGTAAAGTATTGATTGTGAATACATTGAACTGAGTTATTGACTGTGAATACATTGAAGTTTATTTGGACTCAAATACGATTTCCTATGTTCCTTTTAAGATTTGCTAAACAAATGTCAAAATTGTTTGCTCTCTCATTGTGTTTCCAAAATTTATTTTCCACAAATTTCAGCAAAAATCATTTTGGTAATTTTTGATTCTTCTGTGCTTCGTTTTTCTCTAAATGCACTGAAAAAATTCTTATGCTATTAAAAAACAAACATAACACAGGATAATTGCAGTCACTAAAGAGTTGGCATCCATCCACAGAATAACTCATCAACTCCAAATACTAATAAATATTAAAAAACTGAATTACCTTGAAAACTTACGACATTAATTAAATAAAACAACCCATCCTTCCATCCTAAATTTTGCTAACTTATTTTTCTCTCTCCTTCTTAGCATCTTTTCTCTTTTCACACTTTGAATTCAAAGAAATGCAATCACATTTTAAAAAATCCGCAAAAGAAGAGGTAAAATACAATTTAGAGTGTGCAAATATAAGATGGCTATAACGACAATTCAGAAATATCCCCACTATC